TTGTGTTTATAACGAGATGATTAGTTAATGTTAAAATTTTTTTTTGCTCAAGATTAATGTTAATTGGGACACAAAGAATGGACAGAAGATCTGGATGGAGGATGTTGGAATTGGATAGATCTTACACCGTCCGTGCACGTGGTCTCACTGTCACACTCCCAAAGCAGTTATTTTCAGTGATGTTTATTTCAAAAGTTCTTTTTAATTTAAAATTATAATTCTTAATTCTGTTGTAATATTTTTTTCTTATAAAAAATTTTAATTTTAAAAATTATAATCATAAATTATAATTTATACTCATGAATCAAATTTCACCTTCATTTCTAACAAAAATCAACGGCTGAGATTCGCTTTCAACATCTTGTTAAAATCATTAAACAGCCGCCTTCGGACGCGTGGACTTGAATGATAAAAAATGACAAACACCTTTTGAAAATATCCTGCACATCCTACGGTGAGAAGCCACGCGACTTATTCCACGCGCCAGCTTCTCTGTCTTTAAGTGGCGGCGCGTGGACAAACGTTGCGAGTGGCCACGTGACAGGAATTCCCAATGTCAAAGAGCCACCCATCCGTCACGTGAGCACATCGTTGTCCCACCAAACAAAAAAAGGTCAGTGGGACCACTGTCACTGGGCCTGACCCCTCCGTCACCCAAAAGTTCATTCACTTAGGTCCTCAAAAAAAAAAAAAAAATAATAATAATAATAAATGGCAATCCCTTATTTGACAACACAATAAGGAAAGAAAAAAGGAAACCAAGAAAAACAGCTTTTTCCCCATTGATTCCTCATCTTGAACGTTTGGACTTTGGAGTTGCCAAAGATAATAATAATTTAATAATAACAAGAAAATAGAAAAAAAAAAGCAAAAAGGTTTTTCTTTTTGCGAATAAAATGAGATTAAAAAACATGGTTCCCTTTTTCCAGTGTAATAATATTTTTTTTTGGAGTACCTTTTAAGGAATGGAATCATGAGAATTGGAATACAGCCTGCCAACTGCTTTGTCACAGATTTCATTCCACAACAAACGTTGTTTTAAGTCTCTCATACGTGTAAATTAATGATTCTTAAAGCATATTTATTTTTTAATTTAAATTTTTAATTTGAATTAAGATATAATTTTATGTAAATTTTTTTTTTATAATATAAAAATTAAATGTGATTATTTTTTAAAATTTTTTATTAAAATAAAACTCAAATAGATAAAATAAACAGAATCTTAATTTTAACATTTAAAATTTTAATCTTTTTTTAAAAACACTCTAATAAAATCAAAACCATGAACTTTGCATAAAACAAACTAGCTTTTATTGAATTAGATTTCGATAACTTTACACGTGGCAAGTTGTTTTCACTTTTTGAATTGCGAATGTTTTGGCATTGTTTGTCCTTAGAAGTCATCAACAACTTTTATCCATCAAATTTTTGTTGCAATATATTATTGACTCTAACACATGGTATAAGTCACATCCATATAATTTTAAATGGAAAAGCGCCATAATCAGTTTAATGAAGTAGAGCAAAGAGCATCAAGAGGATGTTTGGTATCTAGATTCGTTCACTGATTCGAATCATGGTTCGTAGTTCGTTATAGTATTTTCTCTCATAAAAAATATACGTAAATCGAAAATAATTCTAATCACATGGTTCTAATCCATGAACTAAACATCACCTAAATATGCAAAGTTTCGTTGACAAAAAACAAGCATGCAGCATGCCTATTTCCCTATACACTAATGTGGACGTATATGTATATGTACATAAATTATAAATATAAGTTGACATTTTAATTACTCAAATAATAAATAAATAATCACAAAAATATCATTTGACGTTTTAATGATTTAAAAAATCGACCATTTATTCATAGGTATTATAAACTTAAATCATTTACTTTTAGAGATATTTTTTAATACGCATAGTGTATTAGTAGGTCAAATTTTTTAACCGTTTGACTTGTATACATTTTAATTTTTACGTGATTTTATATAAATTTAATAGATAAAGAATCTAACCTATTAATATACTAGCGTACTGAAAAATGTCATTTTTAAGATAAATATTGAAAATACTTTTAAGCCTTGAGATTTTTACCTATTTATTTATTTAAAAGACAATCCATATGCTGGACCACGCAACTTTTGCATGTGTCTCTATATTACAAACATACTTATCAATTGTTGCTTGATAAGTACAACTGAAATTGAGAGCCCGTTTGTTTCGAATACTCAAACTTAAATTATTAAGGGCTTGTTTATTTGCATCCAAACTTAAAAAAAATTTAAATTTAAGTTACAAATTTATTCAAGTTTATGTTCTTTTGTAAAATTTGAGTTTGAACTTGAGTTTGGGGCTAAAATGAGTAAGTTCCCCTTCAATTCAAGTTCCTCAAACTCAAGTTAATGAACAATAGTTTTTCTATTCTTAAAAACACCATAACTTTTTCGTTTTAATTTCTATTAAAATTTTCCATCACCATTCAGTTTTTATTAAAATACTATCCAAATATAAATTTAAGTTTTGACATACTTAAATACAAACTCAAATAGATTCTCAATTTAAATAATAGTTCAAAATGTGCACATCTAAACACAAACTTAAATTAGAATCATAACTCAAGCTATACTTAAATACACCTTAACTCAAATCAATATCTGAACTCAAGTCATCATAACTCAAAAAATACAAATGAATAAGCCCTAATTTTATTACAGTATTTTTCTTTTATAAAAAATTTAAAATTTGAATATCAAAATTAAGAATCAATTTGAATATACATTCGAACAGGCCTTGAAACGTACAACAATAGTCAAGGAAACTTGATATTTTATATGTTGTATTCAATTAATTAATATTTTGATATTACTAATAGTAGTGATTTTCACGTTAAAAATATAATATGATATCTGAGCGAGTCGTAAATTTAACAAGTCCCTGATTCGTTATGGTTGAAGTCTTCCTGATTCATGTGCTCTACACTCTTTTATTTCTTTTATTAGTAAAAAACTCTTGCATGCGTCTCATTTAAAACAACAATACAAATTGTTGAAAAAAAAGATAAAAAAATAAAGATAAAAGTGAACAAAAAAGATCTAAAGCAGAAGACGGGAAAAAAAGACAAACAAAAAGTAAGGGAAAAAAACTTGTGCACAACATTTTACAACTGAAGTTATAATTTATAAAGATCACAGTCAAAAAATATTTATATAAGGATACATTTAATAATAAAATTATTTAGTAGGGTAATTAAAAAATTTAATATTTTAAATAACAGTAAGAAAAGTATTTGAAGGGGATATATTTAAAAAGAAGATTCTCTTATACGCATAGCATGTCGGTAGATTTTTTTTAACTATTTAATCTGCGTATTTTTTAATTTTTACGTGATTTTATACAAATATGACAAACAAAAAACTTAATCTACTAATATATTAACGTATCATAAAAGACCTTTATTTAAAAATTTATAAAAATAAAAAAGTTAAAAGATGTTATAAAAAAATATCTGGACGAATAAGAATAAAACAAAAGGAAAAACTAAAAAAAGCTAAAAAAATAGAAAAAGAAAGGCAACAACAAGTTTACCCTTCACGGCTAAAAAAAAAAACCCCCCACATATTATCTAGTCTCAAATATCCTTTTAATTATCGCTCAAATGAGCAACAATGTGACTGGTGATTTTTAATTTTAATATTTAAAATTAAAATTTTTTATGAAAAAGAAATTGCGTAACATAATTAAAATTATAAATTTAAACGTTTTTTTTATTATCATCCTTATGTCCATGTGCCCTTCTTCGTACACTTGCACGTGTCTTCAACTCTCGGCTTCCATGCGTCACGGACAATGGTGGACCCTTTTATATGTGGACCCAAATGCTCAGATGATTGTTGCCCTTTGCCTTTGGCTTTGCATCTACGCCCCCATATTTGTCCATCTTTTTTATTTTCTTGAAAATAAAAAAATAATAAATCTTTAATACATGCTTGGATGACATACCTGATTAAGGGTCCGTTCACTTCGCTGATTCGATTTTATAATTTGAGTTGAGATGTGATTTTATGTGAAGATTTTTTACTGTAGTAAAAAAGTTAAATGTGACTGTTTCTGAGAACTTTTTACTGTAACAAAACTCGAATCGGCGAAATAAACAGAAAATTGGTCTCACTATCCATTTGCTCCGTTTAATAGTTCGCACTACGATTGAGCTAAAAAGGAAAGAAAAAAAAGATAAAATCATTTTGATATTTTTTTATTATAGTAAAAATTATTTTGGTATTTTTTATTATAGTAAAAATTATTGTTAGTTCTATGTGTTTTAATAAAATTAAAAGAATATATTCACTTTTAAAGAAATGTTCTTGTTGAGACTAAGGGGATGTTTGGTTGGAGGATTAGAATCATGTGATTAGAATTATTTTTAATTTGTGTATATTTTTTCTGAAAAAAAAATACTGTAACGAACCATATAATTATTGAGACATACAATTATTAACTTTGTTTTCATTTAATTAATAGAACCTGATACTTCAAAAGTGTCTTTCCAAAATATCTTAACTTGTTTTGATTTTTAATTTTGAAATGTTTTAAAGTATTTTTATAATATTTTTAAAAAATTATTAGTTTGTTATTAATTAGTGAGAAAGGTAAAATAAATATTTTATGTCTTAAAATTCAATTTAAAAGTACTAAAAGAACGTTTTTTAAAGTGTTAACTATTATTTTAATATTATTAAAAACATAAAGGGCTAACGATGTTTCATTATAAAAAGAGGTACGAAAATGATTTTATTTAAAAAAAAGTCGTTTAGGCGTACGACAGTCGTTTTATTCAGCGTATTCACCAAAGACCGATAATGAATTCTAGCGGACCGCAGACTGAGTTGAGAATCGGAATACACGTACATTCGTTCGCAGACGAAAAAAACCCGTCAATCAAGGGTTTTTGATATTTTTAGGGGACAGACGGACAAGAGTTTCAATTCCTCCCTCCAAAATCCTTCTCTCCGCTTTCCCTTCAGACACAGCGATTCCACTCTGTTCTCTTCTCTCTCGTTTAGGGTTAGGGTTTTCTGGTTTCTCTTCCTTTCCCAAATTCCCTCTTAATCTAGCTTCAGCACCGCCATGGCTAGGTACAGAAGCCGGAGTCGGAGCCGAAGCTACAGCCCTCGCCGCCGCAGCCGGTCCCCGCCTCGTGGACGCAAGCGCTACGATGACGAGCCCCGTGATCGCCGCCGTGACCGGAGGGACCCTCGCTCCCCTGCTCCTTCTGGCTTGCTCGTCCGCAATCTCCCTCTTGACGCCAGGTCTCTCTCTCTCTCTCTCTCTCTCTCTCTCTCTATATATATATATATATATATGCATATATGTTTATGTCGTTCTCAATTTATTATTCTTTTAATTTGTGATACGAATGGTGTAAAGTTATTGCGAAAATTTTAACAGCGAATCGCTTATTTGTTGCTTTTCGTTCTGATTTTGCTAGGTGTAGAAATTTACTTTTCGGAACTGAGTAATTACAGATATTTATATGTATATATATTCTTCTGTGTGTGTGTGTGTGTGTTGTTCTTATATATATATATATATATATATATATATATAGGATTAAGTTAATGTGCACACATAGAATAAGTTCAAGATTTTTGGATATTTTCTTTCCCAAGAACAAGAAGTTTGCAGACTTGTCTTTCGTTGATTGTGCTAAGTTGGAAAGCCAGCCTATAATTTTGGGTTTTTGGATATTGTGAGGACTTATTGTTATTCCTTTTATCTCTCCTGATAATCGTGTTCCGTTTCTTACAAAACACACACGCATGGACAAAATGAAGAACTTATTCAGTCTAATATCTAGTTATCTGGTTTTGTACAGGCCAGAGGATCTTAGGACTCCGTTTGAGCGGTATGGTCCTGTGAAGGATGTGTATCTACCTAAGAATTACTACACTGGGTACGACTCTTCCTATCTTCTTTTTATTTTTATTTTTATTTTTTTTTTGGTTTAAATAAATGATAAATGTTTACCCATTTCATGTTTCTGTCCTGTACTCGGGTTTACGTGTTATTTCAAGTTGAGTTGTTGTGAATTGTGTTTTGAATATATATAGGGAACCACGGGGATTTGGATTTGTCAAGTACCGTTATGCAGATGATGCTGCTGAAGCTAAGCAGCAATTGAACCATACAGTAATTGGTGGGCGTGAGATAAAAATTGTGTATGCTGAGGAAAATAGGAAAACTCCTCAAGAGATGCGCACGACTGCGCGCCCAAGGTCTATAAACAGTTTACTTGTCTTCCTTGATTACATTTTCCAATACCGCCTTTATTTTTGTATTCACTTTGCTTCTTCTTTCAATCAATAGTGGCCGACATGGAGGGAGCCATAGGAGAAGTCCACCAAGACGCCGATATCATTGTCAGTTTGATATTTTACTTTGGCATTTATTTTAACTTGTGAAGAAGATTTATTCAAGTTTGCTTGTACATATTCTGTATTGTTTAATTGTCTGCTGAATTTTTATGGTTTTTTTTTTGGTCACAGCTTACTCGCGGTCACCTTCACCTGTTAGGTATGACTTGAGGTTTGATCTTATATGTACAAGATTTCGAGCTTTGTTTTTTTCCCAACTCTGTTTGTCAAGTATTATTATTTTCTCTTTGTGAATTTAGTTCTTGTTTGTTGAGCCGACTTTATTGCGCTTTTATACTCTTTGGTGCCAAGCTAACAATTAAATATCATTTCATTGACTGCTGTAACTGTTTCTTTGTTTTATAGTATGCGCTGCTGCCCTTGTTTATGCAGATATTAAAGTATACGGGCAAACTAAAGTTTTCTTGATTAAAAATATTAACAAGAGGTCGTAAAATTGATCGGCCTATAGCCTTTCTATCAATGCCTCTCAAGTATTATCCTTGATTTCACCTTGCCCAATGGAGAATATGCATGGACTTCTGAGTCTTTTTTTCCTTCTGATATGACGTTTATTACTATTAATGACCTTACTACCTCTATTGCTTGAGAGATGAATAATTACTATACAACTTTAGTTGTTATTTTCTTTCTTTGGACTGTGAAAGTAATTATTTTAGTTAGAACAATTTCAATTTGATACCTTGTTTTATACGATCCAGTTAATAAAGAATATAGAGCTTATAGTTGGCCAAAGAAAGAAATCACTTCAAAGATGGGAAGCAATTCAAAGTTTTTACTGGTAGAGGTTTGATGACATTGTCCAAGGAAAAGATAATAAAGGTTTTAGAAAGTTGCAAAGAAGCTATGAAGTGGTCAGATGCTGATCAACGAGTGCCTCAATATAGAGCATAACTCTCAATGTTTGGACAAAGTGTCATATTTTTGTTCAGAAATCTTGAAAAGGTTCAGGTAAAGGACACATTTTGATTATTAGATGAGGATACAAGTAGAAGTTATGTTATCTAAAACAAATTATCTGGTTTTATACTTTTATTTTATATAGTATTGTGCCTAGTTTCATTTGCTTGTTATGTTTTTGTGGTTAATTGGAAGTGACGAGTTAGCAATGAAAATAAAGAAATCCTTTAGTTTGTGCGTCTTTTAGTATTATTTTTTTTTTGAAAATATCTATTCGTGTTATATGAGCTAATTTAGTAATTCATTTTCTTTCAAATAAGCTTTCTTCCCTTGCTATTGGATAGGAACCGCAGGTCTAGGGATGATTATCACTCTCCAGCGCACTCCCGATCAATTTCTCGGTCTCCTTCACGCGATGATAGGGATTACAAGAGGTCCCCAACTGAGTCTCCACGTGACGATAGGGATTACAGGAGGTCCACAAGTCCAAGAAAGAACGGGCGAAGTAGATCTGGTGGAAGGGGGCGTGCATCAAGCAGGTCAAGGAGTCCAAGGGAGAACGGCCGACCTCAATCTGTTGAAACGGGGCATGCACCAAGCAGGTCGAGGAGTCCAGGGGGTGAAAGTCGTAGTCCTTCGAGGTCTCATTAACAATCCTACGGGTATGTCTCTTTCATTACAAATGAACGAATTGTGCATCTATTCTTATTTTTGATAAAAGAAAAGGGGTGTCACAGCTGTATCCATCCAGCCGAGCCTAGTCTTTATTTTCTGTCCCCTGAAAATGGGGCTCTTCTCCTTTATCAGGGTGCGTAAAAATTTGGGAAAAACAAAATGTGTTGCCGTATATTATTTGATTGTTCAGGGTAACTCTGTTTTGTATCTACAAACACATTCAGTGATTTTGTATCTTGGACTGATGCCAGTCCTTAGAAGTCGGAAAGCTCTGCTTTATTTTACCTTTGTTTTGAATCTTTTGATAAGCTTTACAATTATTGATTCTCTCTAAGAATCCTTAAATATGCGCCTCATTAGTTTCAACTAATTCTTCAAGATCTAATCTTGTGATATTTTACGTACAGCCCTCGCTGATGTTGCTGAATGTGCTGCTGTTAGATGGCCCGCTCATGGTTTTCCTGCAAGGTGCTCTTGGCATCATGATTCTAGATAGCTGTATGTGGTATTCCCGTTAGGCTTGATGCGTTTGGTCTCAACTTTGCGCATCCTTCTGTGTTTAATAGACTACTTTTGGATGTTTAGACTGAAATCAGATTTTTGGAACATACTGTCAGCTGTGTCTATAATCTAAATGGTGGTTATGATTGTTGGCAATCTTCTGATCTTATTATTTTAAGCTTTTTTTTTTTTTTCAATCTGTTGTAGTTTTGATCGTTGGCAAGGTTACTAGTCTACTTGGTTTAATCTTTGGAGGTTGATTTCCTCTCTCTCTCTCTCTCTCTCTCTCTCTCTCTATATATATATATATGTTTTAGGAGTTCTAAAAGCAATCTAATCAGGGATTTTTTTTCTTTTTTCCGTTGTTTAATTGTCGGGCAAGTATTAAGGTTTGTTTAGTTCGCTGCTTTAAATTTTTAATTTGAATTAAGATGTGACTTTATGTGAAAATTTTTTATTGTAATAAAAAAATTAAATGTGACTGTTTTTCATAATTTTTTTTACTTTAGTAACACTCGAATCGATAAAATGAACAGAATCTTACTCTATCATCCACTTCTAATCAATTTTTTTTTTTTTGTGTGTGTATGGGTAGAACTCAACTCCTTAACAATTGCATGTAGTTATCTGTAGCGTGCTCTTGCCACCATGAATGAAATGTAACCTCTCAAGAAAAACCAAGAATAATGGATCAATATCTTTTTCGTAGACCGACTTTAACAGAGCCCATCTGGCTCAAGCCTTGAATGATGACAAAAGAAAACTATGTCTGTTCAAAGTCTGCACTTTATGCTTTAAAGAAAAGGCGCAACGTTTCCACGCTTAAGAGCATTCCGCATTCGGCAATGAAAATGCGAACATACAAAGCAGGCGATAAAAGTCATCATCAAAGAGACAAGTCTAATATTAGAACTGTTCGAAAACAACAGTACTTGCTCACTGCAAAACTGTCCAAATTATTGAGACAATGAAAAGAAAATGAGTATGGTCTCATTCCAAACGACACGCTTTCTCGAATTCTTGCTGCTCTTTGCGACACAAATCGAACTCATTTGTATTGTAATACATGCATCCCACATAAGAATCCATCTCCTTTGTGCATCTTTGGTGTAGATCTCTCAATCTGCATCACAAAAATTTCCACCCTTAAAAGAAATGCCACAAACATCTCTCCACCATGTGTGTAATACCCTTAATGCATTTTTTTGACTCGTGATGATTCTAGATCTAAATCTTAGATATGCTCCTCCTAACTGCACTCATCCAAGAAGACTCTCTTTCTCTCCCTCCCCATCTAACAAAGCTACAAACATAGAATGAGAAACACAAGATGCGTTTAGAACTCGTTTTAAAATGATTATTTTTTGTATGAAAATAAAAATGAAAACGTTTTCAATTTCAGACAGAAATCATTTTTGAAAATACGTTTGATAGTTTTATCAAGAGATTGTTTTCAGTATAAAAAAACTCATTAATGTCTCTGTCTTCTCTCTTTCTGCTCGAGAGAAGAGAAAGCGAAAACAAAAAATGAAAAATGACTAAAAGTCGTTTTTTATTTCTCTCTCATTTTACATTAAACTAAAAAATCGTTTTCATTTCCGTTTTTTATCTTTATTGCGCCAAACGCCGTTTTGAAAACGTTTTCATTTTTTCTTTCTCGAAAAATGTGAAACAAAAACGGGATCAGTTCCGGCCACAGTCTCTTCTTCAAAACTAAGTTAACAAGCCAGAAAAGGGCAAACGTTGCATGAAAAACGAGAATTAGGTGGGGCTTTGTCAGGGGTGGATTTTTTTGTGTCTACGTTTAAGTCTTCGACAAATTTACGAGAATGAAATCAAAGAAATGAATTTCTGATGCATAGGATGATTGATCAGATAATCAAACTTGATTATAAGATCGATAAAACGAGCTTTTGCCATCATAGAACAATCATCTTCACACAAATTTAGAACTATAACACTCGCACATTGTCGTATATAAACTAAGAAACACAAGTACTTCAATAATCTAAAAATCCATACTTCAAACACCAGAGATAAGCAATAGCCCAGAGCCATATAGTAAATAAATAGAATTAACCATAAAGAAAGTTATTAACTTAACATCAAAGAGTTAAGCTTCAGAAGCAACAACTAAAGAAAAAACTAAGCCCCGGAATTAGTGGTCAAAGGAGATCATTCTAACACGAAATTCCTCTTTGCAACAGCCGACAAGACCGGATTTTAAGTTTAAATTTTCCGTTTTCATGGCCTTAACTCTGCCTTCAATTCAATCTAATTTCTCAACTTATTTATGAGAAAACTTGATAACAAGACAATAAGCAAAATTTTTGCACTTTTCAACATAAATCAGAGCAAATTTTTGAACTTTCATCACAATTTATAATCAAGCTAATTTGCAACAACGAAGTCACCAATTATGAAGAATTCGAAGCTCAACACTCAATATCCCCAACATTCTCGCTAACCAAACAAAACCTCAAAAGACACAAACAAAACGACAATCCACGAGGAAACGATTGAGAAAAGGATCAAAATTTGAGGTTAGGAACTTACAGGCCGAGGACGCAGCGAGTGACTTGCTGTCCTTTGTCGAGGCATTTCTCGGGATTCGGATCCTGCTTCTTGCACTTGAGAAACTCCACGTTCTCCGATTGGCATCTTAGCGCTATGTGCTTCGACGACGCCATCAGCACTGCCGACGTCGGTATCGGCTCTCCAGAAGCATCCACCGCGCTCGCCATTCCTCCCAAATCTCGATCGCCTAAAGGAAAAAACATCGAAAAAAACAAAATTGAAATTTTTAATCACATTGTTTGAATTCCTTCTGTTTGGTTGCCGAGAAAGTGACGGAAACGTAAAGGAAAACGAAAATTTGGTGCGATAGAAGATAGATTACATACCTTGGTGTCTGAGTTCGAATGGATTTTCTCAGCTCTCTCTCGGAGGAAACTAGTGTGTTAGGGCAGGAGGAGGAGGGACCGGTTACTAGGACCTGATGGATGCTAAATTGCGCCGTGGGGATAGTGAACTACATGAAACGACATGTTTTATGCTGATGTTATTTTAATTGCTGTCGTTTCTAAGGTTGTTGTCGTTGTCTGCGTTGATGTCGTTTATGTGTTCTTGTTGGATATAACATTTGTCGTTTATCCGGTTCATGTCGTTTTTAGCGCCATTCTCGTTTTGAATTATATCTGTCGTTTTAACACAAAAATTATGGTTTTAAGTTGTTGTTGGTGGTTTTTTCCGCCTGATATTTTATAGGATCATGTCGTTTTTGTGTCATTGGCTTTTGAGGTCGGCTCGTTTTTGGATATAACGCCGTCTTCTATAATCTACAAACGGTTTTTTTTGTTGTTGCAAATATTTAAAGATCATTTCTGACGTTTACGTCACCTTTTCAAATTTCAATATCCTTTTGAGTTGACATTGTTCAATAATCGTTGTCGATTTAATATCTTTGTTTCAAGCATATACTTGTTGTCGTTTTTTTAATTTTTAACGTATGTCGTTTTACTTCTTGTCATTTTTTATTGACGTTGCTCATTGAGATTATCATCGTTTTCATCTTGTTGTTTTTGTGCTGAAGTCATTTTTCCTTTTTAACCTACTCAAATTTTAGGTCCTTAATATTTATGGACATGACGACATTTAAGAGATTTTATCAATTTCTAAATATTGATGTCGTTCCTTTAGGTTTTCGTCGTTTTCCGGTTCATGTTGTTCTTCCATTTTGATATGTCGTTTTTCAGAGACTGTCGTTTTGATACTGATTTTATGCTAATAGGACACGTGTCGAACACATAAAGTTTCTGAAGGATATGGAGTGGAATACGCATTATTCTCTAAGTCCCACCGCACTGAATAACTTCTTAACCCCTAAAAGGTTTTCGCCTCCGTCGTTTCTCTCAGCCGCAACCCTTGCCATCTCTCTCTCTCTCTAAACTCTTCAGACCAAGATCAGGTACTTCTCTCTCTTCCCTTCTCTTTTACTCTTTTTGGCATTTTCAGATCTGGGTTTTTGTTTTGGGATTTCATTTGTATCATTCCAAATTGACAATAGACAATCTATGAATTGTATCCACGAAAGTTCCAATTTTTTTCCTGTTTTTTTGCATTAGTTCTTAGTAAGAGCAAAACCCATTTGCTTTCTTAGCTTGAAAAGCACCAACGAATCTTTAGGACCAATAGTTACAAGTCTTATGCATATTCAAGCTTGTCGTTTACACAAAAGTTTAGCAACTAATTCTTATCATTATAATTTTTTTTTTTCTGGGGGGTTTTAGGTTAAGGAAATGGGTGATAAGAAGAGGAAGGCAACAATATTTATCAGACTTGTGTCAGCTGCTGGAACTGGATTTTTCTATGTCAAGAAAAAGCCCTCAAGGATGGTGGAGAAGCTTGAGTTCCGCAAATTTGACCCTAGGGTTAATCGTCATGTTCTTTTCACCGAGGCTAAAATGAAATAACCAAAAAAAAAAAAAAAAGATTTGTTTTATTGGTCCCTAGGTACTACTTCTTGTTTGTTTATTTTACCTTCTCATTTGGTTCAATAATGTGATATCTTGTAGACAATCTTATATGATATAGAACTGGGTACTTGTTGATTAGCAGTGGCCTCATTTTCTCAAGGCATATTGGACGGGAATTTGATTGGTCTTAGCTGATTCTTTGAGATTTGTAGATTGTGAAAATGAAAGATTTCGTTGGGTATATTCATATATCCGAATTTGTGTGCATAGAATTTTGATGTTTATTGGTTGGCACTTTTTACTTATAGCTTGCTTGTTTGGTAGGAGTAAAAGTGGTTGTGTGTCAACAAAATCGTATTTCTTCGTAGTAAATATCGGAACAACCTTCCTAGTAAACATCGTCAGAGAAAAGACCTTTCTCTCCCTCTTCATGTGCCTCACTTAGGTTGTCTACCTTTGATTCTTAGGGGTTTTTCTTTTGCATGTTTGAGTTAGGGTGACTTGAGTAATGATCTTGAGTTGAGTTTGAGTTATAACTTGAGTTAAAGTTGTAACTTGACTTTGTGTTTGGATGTGCATATTTGAGTTATGATTTGAATTGAGAATCTTATTGAGTTTGTGTTTGGGTAGGTCAAAACTTAAATTTGTATTTAGATAGTATTTTAATAAAAATTCAATGGTGATGAAAAATTTTAATAGGGGGTTTTATTCGTCTTTTCGTTGTGAATACATAGAAAAAAAATAATCTCAATCAGAATTAAAACGAAAAAGTTATGACATTCTTAAGAATAGAAAAAATACTGTTCATTAACTTGAGTTCGAGTTTATGAACTTGAGTTGAAGGGAAAACTTAAACTCGAGTTTAGTCCCAAACTCGAGTTCAAACTCAAGTTTTACAAAAAAACATGAACTTAAATAAAGTTGTAACTCGAGTTCAAACTTTTTCTAAATTTCGTTGCAAAAGAACAATATTCTTTTTTGGGATATTTATGGTCCCGTTCATTTCACTTATTCGAGTTTTGCTACAGTAAAAAACTCTTACAAATAATTATATCTAATTTTTTTACTACAATAAAAAGCTGACATAAAGTCACATCTCAACTCGATTTAAAAACTTGAATCAACGAACTAAATAGATCCATATATATTTTTATACCATGTGTTTTAGGTTTATTCAAAATATATACTTTATGTTTTTTATCTCATTAAATGTATACCTTTAAATTAAATTTAATATATAAATTTATGTCTTATCTCGGTTAATAATTAATTTTGACCTTTAAAATGCCTAAACCGTTCTTAAGAAAAAGAAAAAAAAAACACTAAAACTTTCTAATATTATGATAATTAAAAATTAATAATACAAAAAAAAAAAAACAATTGAATGGTATTTTAAGGTCAAAATTGTAAGTTTAAAGTTTTATTTATGTATTTTTCTTTTTTTATGTTTTTATTTAAAGGTATTGTAAGTATTTTTAAGGTTAAAATTGAGGATTGATGGTGGAAAGATATAAATTTCAATATTAAATTTAATTTAAAGATATATATTTGATGAGATAAAAAATTAAAGATATAATTTTTAAATAAACTCAAAATATAAAGTATAAAAAAGTAAATATTCATTTTTTTTTTCTTACCAAACGCACCCTAACTTTGGCACTTTGAATTTGAAGACCATGAGTTAAAAGAGTGTTCTCATCGTTGTGTTCAACACTATGTGTGGTTTGCCATTTGGCCACAAAGAGGTTATGGGCTTATTGCACTGTGGCAATGGGGTGAATTAGAGAAATACTACTAGAGAATAGGATTTAAATATACTACGGTCTTGTTTATTTTACCGATTCGAATTTAAAATTTGAATTTTATTACAGTAAAAAGTTATCAGAATTCATCACATCTAACTTTTTTACTATAGTAAAAAATTATCACATAAAGTCATGTCTTAACTCAAATTAAAAATTTAAATTAGCGAACTAAACGGGTTATATTTTTATAGTAAAATTAGATTTAATTTTGATATTAAAGTGGTACGATGAATAACTAGAATTTCAAAAATGATTTAATAGTTTTGATTCACTATTTTTGAACTCTTGAGTTACTTAGAAAAAGCCAACCCTGAGGTTGTTCCGGGTTTATCTCCTCTTTGTAGCAGATTGAAAAATATCAGATGTGTCCATTATTATCAATGTCTCACTTTAGACATTAAAGAAGTGGAGCGACAAAAAGGAATTTATTCTTCTCAAGCTGAAAATATGTAAAAGGTCACAATTTTCTTTCGTCTGCTCTAATTTAGAATTCTTTTGCCTAATGGATGCTCTATTTTTCATTCCCCGTCTTTTCGACCAAGGTCATCTCATGAGTGTTTTGGATTATTCCTTATTTTTTTTAGTTTATTCATTATTGTTTCAAGAATTCATACTCCAAGATTACTATCTGAACACAGACTTAGGGGCGTTTGGTATGTAGGAATCAGTAAGAATCATATTCTTAGGAAAGTGATGGAGGGTAATATGATTCTTAGGAATAATACATTACTGTGTTTGGTTCTATACAAGAATCTTTTTTAAATTCTAAAAAATATTACATTACTGTGTTTGGTTGTTCGTATGGAAGAATATCCATAATAATAATAATAATAATAATAATAATAATAATAATAATAATAATAACAATAATAACACCAATAATAATAACAATAATAATAATAAACAACAACAATAATAATAATAACACCAATAATAATTATGTAGGAATCAGTAAGAATCATATTCTTAGGAAAGTGATGGAGGGTAATATGATTCTTAGGAATAATACATTACTGTGTTTGGTTCTATACAAGAATCTTTTTTAAATTCTAAAAAATATTACATTACTGTGTTTGGTTGTTCGTATGGAAGAATATCCATAATAATAATAATAATAATAATAATAATAATAATAATAATAATAATAACAATAATAACACCAATAATAATAACAATAATAATAATAAACAACAACAATAATAATAATAACACCAATAATAATAACAATAATAACAACAATAATAATAATAATAATAATAATAATAATAAGATTCTTATGATTTTGAGATTCCTGGGAATTTGAATAACACATGTTGGGTGGTATTCAAATTACTTTAAAATGAGAGAAAATGAATCTCATGGTAATCACTTTCTTGGGAATTTAAAAATTATAATTATTGTACCAAACATGATAATATTGCATATTCTTATTCTACATACCAAACGCTCCCTTAAGGATAGCTCATTTAGTTCATGCGTTTAAATTAATTCTGATTTATATTCAAATTCTTTGAAGAGAATTATTGACGATAATTTTTTTAATTTAAATTTTTTGTGTGAGAAAAAAATATTATCGCAAGATTAAAATTATGGGTTTAAATACGTATAGTAAACGGGCCTGAAAGAATTAGGAATTATTATACAAATGGGGCCATCCAATTAGCAATCGATGGGCCTATCTACAGCGGCATCAAAATTTCAACTTAACCGACAATGACAATTATTGCAATATTTTAAGCCATTGTATCCTTTACATATGTTTACATATGTTGTGAGTGGCTGTTATAATAGGATTTTGGGTCACAATGTCTTGGCCATTATCTAATGGAAAATTTTATTTTCACCCCAAATAAAATTTTTTACTAAGGCACCCTAAAATATTTAAAATTTAAAATTATTTTCTTTCTAATATTTAAATTTTATATAATGCCATAAATATCCTTGTATAAACCCCATCTTTTTCCACTTTTTGTCTTGAACTCTCTTTGATTATGTGCATTTACTTCTTCCTCTTCTTTTATTTTATTTTATTATTGTCTTCACAAAAATTATTATATGCAATAAACACTAAATAGAACTTCCACGTCCAACCCTCCTAGGTTTCACTCTAATTGATGTACACTTCAGTATATGAATTCATTTTTTTTTTGGGAAGAATTTAGAGATCAATTAAATAAATATTTCTACAGATAAATAATGAAATATCAAGATGTGCCATAATTAATGACGTCTGCAAAATAATAAGAACTTAAAAATGGAAAATAAGCAACTTTCTTCATGAATTTCACTGAAACCAAAAAAAAAAAAAAAAAAAGAAAAAGAAAGGGAAGAGGAGTTCTAGAAGTCTTGATTTCCATTAGAATTTCTTCAAAGTTTTGACCGCACACTTCCAAGTTTCCATGGCGGCTAGATGGAAGATCCAAATTTATTTTTTCCAATCTCGTCTTGCCTTCCACCCATACCTTTCCCTTCAATATTATAATATAATTACAATATATTATATAGTAGTTATATCTTATAATATGTAACATAATATAATATATAATAAAAATACTTATAATAATAT